TTGGTCGGGGGTTGTGTTGAGTTGGGTGGGTTGGGGTGGGCGGGGCTGAGTTGCGTTGGGGGGCGGGGTCTGATTTGCATGGGAAGGCCCCGCCCTCCTCACCCCGCCCGGTGTTTCCAATGCAAATCAAGGCCCGGGCGCTCGTTAGCGGCTTTAATGGCTTGGTGGCCTTAATTAGGGTGGCTTGTTTGCGCCGAGTTCTTTAATTAAGAAGCCTCGGGGGAATTAATTGCAGGTGTAGGCCCCAATTACTTAATTAGGAAGCCCCTGGGGAATTAATTGCCGATGTAAACACGAATTCTTTAATTAAGAAGCCTCTGGGGAATTAATTGCAGACATAAACACGAATTCATTAATTGGGAAGCCTCTGGGGAATTAATTAATTGCAGATGTGCACCCGAATTCATTAATTGGGAAGCCTCTGGGTGATTAATTGCAGAGGTAGACCTTAATTACTTAATTAATAGCAGACATAAACATGAATTAATTAATTGTGATGCCGCTGGGTAATTAATTAATTGCAGATGTACACCCGAATTAATTAATTGGGAAGACTCCAGGGAATTAATTGCAGATGTAAACACGATTTCTTTAATTGCGAACCCTCTGGGTAATTAATTAATTGCAGATGTAGACACAAATTAATTAATTGGGAAGTTTCTGAGGAATTAATTAATTGCAGATGTACACCCGAAATAATTAATTGGGAAGACTCCGGGGAATTAATTGCAGATGTAAACAAGAATTAATTAATTGCGAAGCCTCTGGGTAGTTAATTAATTGCAGATCTGCACCCGAATTCATTAATTGGGAAGCCTCTGGGTAATTAATTGCAGATGTACACCCGAATTAATTAATTGGGAAGCCTCCGGGTAATTAATTGCAGATGTAAACAAGAATTAATTAATTGCGAAGCCTCTGGGTAGTTAATTAATTGCAGATCTGCACCCGAATTCATTAATTGGGAAGCCTCTGGGTAATTAATTGCAGATGTAGACACAAATTAATTAATTGGGAAGCCTCTGGGTAATTAACTGACGATGTAGGCACTAGATCTTTAATTAGGAAGCCTCCGGTTAATTAATCACAGACGCAGGTCAAGTTAATTAACAGCACTCTTGGCGTTCAGTTAATTAATTACAAGCCATGCAGTGCACCCTTACATCGAATTTATGCAGAATTAATTAATTGCAAGCCTTTTTGTTGAATTAATGGGGAATTAATTAATTACAAGCCCTGCCCTGAGCCCTTATCTGTTTTATAATCCTTAATTTCTTAATTACAAGCCCAGCAGTGCACCCTTACCTATTTTTAATACTTAATGAATTAATTGCAGGCCCTGCAGTTCACCATGATCTATTTTTTAATCCTTAATTAATTAATTAGAAGCCCGGCAGTGAGCTTTTATATCTTCTTTAGGCTTAATTAATTAATTGCAGGCCCTGCAGCGCGCCCTTGGGTTGAATTCTTTAATTGCAATCGGAGCCGTTAAGGTTTAATTAACAGGGATTAATTAATTGCAATATCCACGGAGCCCTTCAGGTTTAATTACAGGGAATTAATGAATTGCGAGCCCTTGTGATTTAATTACACAGGATTAATTAATCGCAAGTCTTGCAGATTCCTTAATGTTTAATTACAGGGAATTGTTTAATTGGGAGCCCTTGTGATTTAATTACACAGGGTTAATTAATTGATAGCAAGCCTAGCAGATACCTTAATGTTTAATTACAGGGAATTAATTAATTGTGAAGCCCTTGTGATTTAATTACACAGGGTTAATTAATTAATTGCAAGCCTTGCAGGGTCCCTAAAGTTTAATTACAGGGAAGTATTTAATTACAAGCCCTTGTGATTTAATTACACAGGGTTAATTAATTGCAGGGCCCTTAAGGCTTAATTACAGTAAGTTGTTTAATTGCCAGCCCTTGTGATTTAATTAGACAGGGTTAATTAATTAATTGCAAGCCTTGCAGGGTCCCTAAAGTTTAATTACAGGGAAGTATTTAATTACAAGCCCTTGTGATTTAATTACACAGGGTTAATTAATTGCAGGGCCCTTAAGGCTTAATTACAGTAAGTTGTTTAATTGCCAGCCCTTGTGATTTAATTAGACAGGGTTAATTAATTAATTGCAAGCCTTGCAGGGTCCCTAAAGTTTAATTACAGGGAAGTATTTAATTACAAGCCCTTGTGATTTAATTACACAGGGTTAATTAATTGCAGGGCCCTTAAGGCTTAATCAGAGGCACTTGTTTAATTGGGAGCCCTTGTGATTTAATTAGACAGGGTTAATTAATTAATTGCAAGCCTTGCAGGGCTCTTCTAATTCCTTCCTATGGATTAATTGCAGGTGCTTCCCAGCACTAATTAGCTTAATTACTTACTAATTATTTTAATTACTTAATCGCCCGGCTCCCCTGGCTCGTTAGGGTCGAGGTCTTTAATTGCGATCTCCCCACCCTCGTCTCTGACGTCATCGGTTTTGTTTAGTGGGCGGGGTCACTCCCCCACTGCTGGAGCCCCTTTTTCTCGCGGGATTTTGGGGAAAATGCCGAGATTTTGGGAAAATGCCGGGATTTTGGGGGAAAATATCGAGATTTTGGGAAAATGCCGGGATATGGAGGCTGGTTGGGTCGGGATGGGGGTGTTTGGAGCCAGAATTCGGGGGAAAATGTTGGGATTTTGGGAAAATGCTGGGATTTTGGGATGCAGGGCAGGGAAACTGATGCTGGGGGCGAGGTTTTGGGGGAAAATAATGGGATTTTGGGAAAATGCCGGGATTTGGAGGCTGCTTGGGTCAGGATGGGGATGTTTGGGACAAGGATTTGGGGGAAAATGTTGGGATTTTGAGAAAATGTTGAAATTTTGGCATGCAGGGCAGGGAAACTGATGCTTGGGGCAGAGATTTAGGGGAAAATGCTGGGATTTTCAGAAAATGCTGGGATCTGGGGGCTGGTTGGGTTGGGATGGGGATGTTTGGGGCAAGGATTTGGGGAAAAATAATGGGATTTTGGGAAAATGCTGGGATTTTGGGATACAGAGTACGGAAACTGATGCTTGGGGCAAAGATTTGGGGGAAAATAACGGGATTTTGGGAAAAAGGGTTTGGGGGAAAATTATGGGATTTTGGGAAAATGCTGGGATTTTGGGGGTGCAGGGTAGGGATGTGTGGGCTCAGAGCACAGATTTTAGGGAAAATGATGGAAATTTTGGGGAAATGGTGGGGATTGGGGATGTCGGGCAGGGATGGTAGTGCTTGGGGCAAGGAAATTGGGGAAGATGGTGGGATTTGGGGACAGACCCCGGGATTTTGGGGTGCAAGGTGAGGATGCCAGTACCTGGGGCGAGGATTTTGGGATTATACTGGGGGATTTGGGTTGATGCTGGGATTTTGGGATTCAGGGCAGGGTCGTCGGGGCTGAGGGCAACGATTTTGGGAAGACGCCGGGATGTGGGGACACGGGGACGGGGTCGGGGCCACCAGCACACTGGTGGGCGCTGAGGCCGTTCATCTGCAGCGTCACCGTGCCCTGGGAGGTGTCCCTGGAGATGGTGGAGCGACCTTCCACCGCCGACCCGTACCATGTGCTACCACCACTGCTAATAAGTGCGACGAACTCGAGCCCCTTCCCGGGCGCCTGTCGCACCCACTCCACGGCGTAGCTGCTGAGGGTGAAGCCGGAGACCGTGCAGACGAGGGTCATGGAGCCACCAGGCGTCTGGAGGCCACCTCCGGACTCGACCAGCTGCACGGCCGCCCGCAGCCCTGGGGACACAGAAAGTCCACGGTGGAGTCGCCCGGTGGGTTGAGTTGCGTGCTGGGGGGTGGAGTTGTGTTGGGTGGGCGGGGTTGGGTTGGGTTGGGTTGGGTGTCCAGGGTCAGGTACAGAGGGGCCTCCGGATGCCTGGTGGGTCCATGACCTCCTCTGCATGGTCTCCACCTTCACCCCCAGGC